CAGAGTGACCCCAGAGTGACCCCTGCACCCTGAACTGACAAACCCCAATTCTCACCCAATTTTTTTTCCACTTTTCACCCAAATTTAACCCAATTTTTCCCATTACCTTCCACCCAAATTCATCCAATTTTTTCCCATTTTTCACCGTAATTTCGCCATTTTTCACCGGATTTTCACCATATTTTTTCCAATTTTCAACCAATTTTCGTCATTTTCACCCAATTTCTCCCATTAATTTTCTCCCCAATTCCTCCTTTTTTTTTGCCATTTTTCACCTGATTTTCACCAAATTTTCGCCATTTTTTTTTCGATTTTCACCGCGTTTTTTCCATTTTTTCCCAAAATCCCCATTTTTCACCCCATTTCCTCACCGTAGAGCTGCTGGATGCCGCGCCGGTCGTCGTCGGGCAGGCGGAACGGCCGCGTGTCCATTTTCCCTCAATTTCCCCAATTTTGTCAATGTCACCCCATTTTTGTCAATTTCTCTCCGTTATTTTCCCTTTTTTTCTGATTTTCACCCAATTTTTTTCCTGATTTTTGCCCAATTTTCACCCAATTTTTTCCAATTTTCACCCAATTTTTTTTCCGATTTTCACCCAATTTCTCCAATCAATTTTCACCCATTCCTCCATATTTTCCCCATTTTTCACTCGATTTTCACCCTTTTTTTGCCATTTCTCACCCGATTTTCGCCATTTTCACCCCATTTTTCCCAATTTCTCCCATGAAGTTTCAGCAAATTTCCTCCATTTTTCATCCATTTTTCATCCGATTTTCACCCAATATTTTTTTCAGATTTTCACCCAATTTCTCCCATTAATTTCTACCCAAATTCCTCCATTTGTTTCCCATTTTTCACCCAATTTTTGCTGTTTTTTCGCCATTTTTCACTCGATTTTCATCATTTTTTCACCATTTCTCACCCAATTTTCACCATTTTCACCCCAATTTTCACCCAATTTTCACTCCATATTTCCCATGCATTTTCACCCTAATTTCTCCACTTTTTCGCCATTTTTCACCCGATTTTCACCAAATTTTCGCCATTTTTNATGTGACCATGGTGGAGCAGATGTGACCATGGTGGGGCAGATGTGACCATGGTGGGGCAGATGTGACCATGGTGACCATGGTGGGGCAGATGTGACCATGGTGGGGCAGATGTGACCATGGTGACCATGGTGGAGCAGATGTGACCAATGAATTTTTGTCAATTTCAACAGAATTTTGGCAATTTTGATTGAATTTTGGCAATTTCAACCCAATTTTGTCCATTTCAACCCAAATTTTTGTCATTTTTTCCTCCTAATTTTTGTCAATTTCTCTCCCTTTTTCTCCCATTTATTTCCAATTTTCTCCCAATTTCTCCCCATTTTTTCTCCTTTTTTTCCCCTGATTTTTGCCCAATTTTCTCCACAATTTTTTCCCCAATTTTCACCCAATTTTTTTCCACTTTTTGCCCATTTTTTGTCAATTTCTTCCATTAATTTTCTCCCCAATTCCTCAATTTTTTGCCATTTTTCACCCTATTTTCACCATTTTTTTGCCATTTTCCACCCGATTTTCTCCCAATTTTCACCCAATTTTCGCCCAATTTTTCCCATTTATTTCCACCTTAATTTCTCCATTTTTTCTCTAATTTTTGCCCAATTTTCACCAATTTTTTTTCCTGATTTTCACCCAATTTTCTCTGCAATTTTTTTCCCAATTTCCTTCCAATTTTCACCTAATTTTTGTTCCACTTTTCACCCATTTTTTTCTCAATTTCTCCCATCATTTTTTTCCGTATTTTCGCCATTTTTCACCATTTCTTCCCCATTTTTCACCCGATTTTTACCATTTTTTTTCCGATTTTCACGGCATTTTTTTTGGATTTCACTATAAATTTCCCAAATTTTCTCAAAATCCCCATTTTTCACCCCATTTTCTCACCGTAGAGCTGCTGTATCCCGCGCCGGTCGTCGTCGGGCAGGCGGAAGGGCCGTGTGTCCATCCATTGGTAGAACGGGGCCATGATGGCCGAGGGGTCGCTGGAATGTTCCAGACCCAGCGAGTGCCCGAGCTCGTGCACGGCCACCAGGAACAGGTCATTGCCTGCCAAAAAGGGGCGTGGTTTAGTCCCAGGGGGCGTGGTTTGGTCCCAGGGGGCGTGGTTTAATCACAGGGGGCGTGGCCAAAAAAATCCCAGAAAAAATCCCCCAGAAAATCGCATTTTGACACCAAAATTCCTATTTTTTACCCCAAAATTCCCTTTTTTTACCCCTAAAATTCTCATATTTTGGAACCCAAAATTTCCATTTTTTTACCCCAAAAATTCCCATTTTTTGCTCCAAAAATTCCCGATTTTTTACCCTAAAATTCCTACTTTTTTGCCCCAAAAAATCCCAATTTTTCCACCCCAAAAATCCAAATATTTCCACGTAAAAAACCCCTTTTTTTCCCCAAAAAATCCCACTTTTTTCACTCCAAAAATCCCCATTTTTTCTACCTCAAAAATCCCCTTTTTTCTACTCAAAATCCAATTTTTTGCCCCAAAAAAAATCCCAGCTTTTCTCCCCAAAAAATTTCCATCTTTTTGCCCTAAAAGTCCCCAATTTTTGCCCCCTAAGATTCCAACTTTTCCCCCTAAGATTCCAAATTTTTCACCCCAAAATTCCCTTTTTTCTACTCTAAAAATTCCTGGTTTTACCGCAAAAATCCGAATTTTTCCACCCCAAAACCCTCATTTCTTGCCCTAAAATTCCCATTTTTTTTACTCCAAAAATTCCCATTTTTTTTACTCTAAAAATTCCCAATTTTTACTCCAAAAATTCTCACGGCTGCATCTCGTCCGGGATTCCGGGGCGGACCGTCTGAAAACGTTGTCTCAAAACCGAGACGTTCTCCTACAAAATCTCATTTTTTCTCCCCAAATTTCCGGTTTTTTACCCTAAAATCCCCCATTTTTAGTCCAAAAATTCCCATTTTTTGCCCCCCAAGATTCCAATTTTTCCCCCTAAGATTCCACCTTTTCCCCCTAAGATTCCCAATTTTTCCATCCCAAAATCCCCATTTTCCGCTCCAAAATCCCCATTTTTTGCTCTAAAAATTCTGAATTTTCCCCCCAAAATCCCCATTTTCTCACCGCTCAGATCCTCATTCCGGTCCGTCCATGGCTCCGCCCCATCGAAGTGGGCGTCGCCCCCGATGTCCCCATTTCCCACCCCAAAATCCCCATTTTTCACCCCAAAATCCCCATTTTTTACTCTAAAAATTCCCAATTTTTCCCCAAAATCCCATTTCCCCCATTTTTTCCCAAAATCCCCATTTTTTACTCTAAAAATTCTGAATTTCCACCCAAAAATCCCAATTTTTTCACCTGAAATCTGCATTTTTTGCCCCAAAATTCCCTTTTTTTCCCAAAACTCCCTTTTTTTCCCAAAAACCCCATTTTTCACCCCAAATTCCCCATGTTTTTTGCCGCTCTCACCGCTCAGATCCTCGTTCTGGTCCGTCCACGGCTCCGCCCCGTCGAAGTGGGCGTCGCCCCCAATGTCCCCATTTCCCACCCCAAAATCCCCATTTTTCACCCCAAAATCCCCATTTTCTGCCCCAAAATCCCCATTTTTTCCCAAAATCCCCATTTTTTACTCTAAAAATTCCGAATTTTCACCCCAAAATCCCTTTTTTCCCCAAAATCCCCATTTTTTCCCAAATTCCCCATTTTTTCCCCATTTTCTCACCGCTGAGGTCCTCGTTCCGGTCCGTCCACGGCTCCGCCCCGTCGAAGTGGGCGTCGCCCCCGATATCCGGCCCGGGGAAGAAGGCGTGGGCCAGGAACCCGCCCTGTCCGTCAAACGGGGAACCGTCGCCGTGGAAACCGTCGGCGAACAGCACCATGATGTCAGCGCGGGGGGCGTGGCCAGACAAGATGGCGGCGAACGGAACCTCCCGGAAGCGCAGGGAGGGCGCGGCCGAGGACCAGACGGAGAGGGCGCGGCGGATGGCAGAGGTGGTGGAGGACAGGGACAGCTGGGGGGCGGAGTTCTGCACGCTAAAGGGGCGGGGCCAAAGAAAAAAAAGTGTGACTCAGTTTACCCAAAATTAGAAAAAATTATCCCAAAAAAATCGTGAAAAACGGCACCAAAATGACAAAAAAATGGCAGAAAACGGCACCAAAATGACCCAAAATGGCACCAGAAATTGCCTCAGTTTACCCAAGATGGCCGCCTGCGTGACTCAGTTTACCCAAAATTGCAGAAATCGACACCAAAATGACCCAAAATGACCCAAAAATGACCTAAAATGTCACCAAAAATTGCCTCAGTTTCCCCAAGATGGCCGCCGGTGTGACTCAGTTTACCCAAAAACGTACAATATTAACTCAAAAAAATGACACCGAAATTGCGAAAAACGGCGCCAAAATGACCCCAAACTTGTCCCAAATGACACCAAGATGGCCGCCGGTGTGACTCAGTTTACCCAAAATTATCTCAAAAAAATGACACCAAAACTGTGAAAAACGGCACCAAAATGACCCCAAAATGACGCCAAAATGACCCCAAAATGACGCCAAAAAGACCCCAAAATCACCCCAAAATGACCCCAAAATGACCCCAAAATAACCCAAAAATGGCACCAAAATGGCCCCAAGATGGCGCCGTTGTGGCCCCGCCCACAGGGAGGAGGCGTGGCCAATGTCCAAGATGGCGGCTGAGGGAACCTCCCGGAAGCGCAGGGAGGGGGCGTGGCCAATGGCGGAGGGGGTGGAGCTCAGCGACANAAAATTCCCATTTTTTTAACTCCAAAAATTCCCATTTTTTACTCCAAAAATTCCCAATTTTTTTACTCCAAAATTCTCCCGGCTCCATCTCGTCCGGGATTCCGGGGCGGACCGTCTGAAAACGTTGTCTCAAAACCGAGACGTTCTCCTACAGATTCTCATTTTTTCTCCCCAAATTTCCGGTTTTTTACCCTAAAATCCCCCATTTTTAGTCCAAAAATTCCCATTTTTTGCCCCTAAGATTCCCATTTTCCCCCTAAGATTCCAAATTTTTCCACCCCAAAATCCCCATTTTCCTCACCAAAATCCCCATTTTCTGCTCCAAAATCCCCATTTTCTGCCCCAAAATCCCCATTTTCCACCCCAAAATTCCCATTTTTGCCCCGAAAATTCTCATTTTTTTTCTCCCTAAAATTCCGCTGTTTGCCCCTAAGATTCCAATTGTTCCCCCTAAGATTCCCAATTTTTGCACTCTAAATCCAATTTTTACCCCATAAAATCCCCATTTTCTTCCCCAAAATCCCCATTTTTTTGCCTCCTAAGATTCCAATTTTTCTACTCAAAATTTCCATTTTTTGCTCCAAAAATTCCCAATTTTTATCCCTAAGATTCGAAATTTTTCCCCCCTAAGATTCCCAATTTTTGGTCTCAAAATCCAATTTTTCTGCTCAAAACCCCAAATTTTTGGCGGGATTTTTTTTCCCAAAAATCCCCATTTTCACCCCAAATCCCCATTTTTTTCCCCATTTTCTCACCGCTCAGGTCCTCATTCCGGTCCGTCCACGGCTCCGCCCCGTCGAAGTGGGCGTCGCCCCCGATACCCCCATTTCCCACCCCAAAATCCCCATTTTTCCCCCCAAAATCCCCATTTTCTCACCGCTCAGGTCCTCATTCCTGTCCGTCCACGGCTCCGCCCCGTCGAAGTGGGCGTCGCCCCCGATATCCGGCCCGGGGAAGAAGGCGTGGGCCAGGAACCCGCCCTGTCCGTCAA